GTAAGTCTCTATCCATCATGACTTCCTCCCAGAGTATGTATCGTGATCTTGAGGGACTCAAATGTAGAGGACAACATCAGCACCAACAGATACAGGGGACATGCAGTGTTGATGGTAACAATATGTTACGATCTACTTTCACCGAGAATTACCCCCGGAAGTTTGCCCGTCGGCTTGCCAAAAGCCTCTGCAAGCTGCGAGTGCCACGTGAAAAACCCTACCTCCATGAGGTGGAACAGTGCCTATGGTCTTGGACTCTGGCCCATGGATCCGATCATGGGGAGCGAGTGCCAAAACGCATTCGCATGAGTCCTCAGGCCAAACTGAAGGTAAGTCGTGCACGAGATGTTGAGCAACTCCCATGGGGTAAAAGGTGCAAGCTGTCCCACAAAACCTCTCCCATCGATGCAATGTCACAATGGCAATCTGTGTTTCAGGAGTTGCAGAATTTGGCACCGAGGGTAGGCAAGCTGGAAGTCGCTAACCCACAGCTCATCTCCATGATTCAAAATTTGATTGGGGATAAGATCATCAGTAAGATAATCATATGCAGGGGAACCAATAGGACGATAGGCCCACCGAAGACACTCATGAAGGGAGAAGCCCCCTATCGTCGCTGCATTTTCACTGAAAGGACCTCAGGAAAAATTCGTGCTGATGAATCCTGGGAGGAGTGGGAAGAACTTTCAAACCGCCAACTCATAAGGTCCTCACATCCGTGTCGACTGAATATGACAGTTTTTGCCTGCAATCCCGAAGTACCTCGATCTGCGGGAGAATCTCGGCCAGAATCTCTCGAGCAGACTGCACCCAATTCACCGTCAGAGGATACGGTGGTTTCCCCAAGACCGGAAGACGCGAAGAAATCTTCCAGTCAGAGCCAACCAAGTTTCAATCCTGAAATGCCCATGACCGAGTCTCAGAAGGCGGATCTAGAATCCACTAGGCAGACCGAGCACTTCAAGAGTATCACCAAAGAGGAACAACAAGCGTTAATCCGTGCTCACAAGAACCTTGGTCATCCGCATGCCGAGAAGTTTAGTAGCATCATCAGACAGCAGGGTTTCCGACCAGAGGTGGCCAGAGCCGCGCTGGAACTTAAGTGTTCCGTGTGCCAATCCCAGCAAGCACCTAAATCAGGGTCACCTGGAAGTCTGAGAGATGAACTGGACTTCAATGATCGCCTTCACATTGACGGGCTTACATGGACTAATGCTCAGGGGAAAAACTTTCATGTTTACCATTTTGTGGATAGTGCAACCAGTTTCCAGGTAGCCTGTGTAGCACCATCTCGCAGTGCAGAAGCTTTCCTAGAGTGCTTTGTACAGTCCTGGCTGATGTGGGCCGGCACCCCGCACGAAGTCATCGTGGACGCAGGAACAGAGCTCAACTCTGAGGAGATAGCTAGGTTTGCACAGGCCCACAACATACACATGGTGACCATCAGCACTGAGGCGCACTTTCAAAATGGGAAAGCCGAAAGACATGGATCTATACTCCAGAACATGCTGAACAGATATGAAAAGGAACATGCCATCCACAACTACCATGACCTCAAACAGGGCCTTTGGTGGTGCACACAAGCCAAAAATGCATACAGTATCCGGAAGGGGTATTCCCCCGAGGTGTTAGTCCTAGGAAAACAGACTAGGCTGCCGGGATCCGTGTGCAGTGATGAGCTACTGCCTGCCCACATGCTAGCAGACTCGGAATCCGCTCAAGGGATCCAATTCCGACTCCAGTTGTCACGTAGAGAAAGCGCCAGAAAAGCCTTTGTCCAGACCGATCATGACCAAGCACTCCGTAGATCAATCCTGCGTAAGTCACAGGGGAAGCCTCAGAAATATCAACCTGGAGAGTGGGTCATGGTGTGGCGTCAGGGAAGAGGAGCCTATGCTGATCAGTGGACAGGCCCAATGCGAGTCGTTGTCCACGAGAATGCTCAGACCGTGTGGACCACAATGGCAGCAAAGCTGTATCGTGCAGCACCAGAACATGTCCGGCCGGTGTCGGCAATGGAGGCTAAGGAAATTGTCATACTCCCGAATGAACCTTCCACGTCAATAATTGCCAATCAACTACCAGTCCACTTGAATAACCCTCAACTACACCAGAATGCTCATAATCCCAACACTGATGTTACACTTCCACCACCCACCATGTCCAATAATCCAATAACACCTCAAAATAATCCAAACAACCATCCAGAACCTGATGCCACCTCAGAAATTCAACCGGATGCAGAGCCAGGAGCACCCGGAAGTGTACACACACCAAGTGAAAACCACGAGGAATCACCATCAATAAATCCAAATAATCCTTCCACAATAACACCCAGGCTCAATCCGGAGCAAGACATGATGAGAGAACGTGAAGCACAGAATACACCAATGCCAAACGAAACCGATGATGAAGATCTTGTTTGTGAGGGCCTCCACTGCATGGATGAAGAACCGGAATCTGTGGCCATGACTGATGATCAGGCATGGCAATGCTCCTTCTACGTTACCGAGAGTGACATTGAAGGCTGGAGACACGAAACGTGTCCTGACGAATGTGGCTTCCTGGCCACTGCCGCAAAACGCCAACGTGCCGAAGTGAAGCTGGCCACGCTGAGTCCCATCGAAAAGCTAGAGTTCCAGAAAGCCAAGGATCATGAGATTCAAAACTGGTTGAAAACTGGCACCATATCCAAAATTATGAGAGACCAGGTACCACCAGATCAAATCTTAAGATGTCGATGGATCTTAACGTGGAAACCAATAGATCAACAAGAAAGGGAACAACTCAAAGGCACGAAGGATTTCAAGGCAAAAGCAAGACTTGTCATTCTGGGATATCTTGACCCCAAGATAGCCGAAGTTCCAAGGGACTCACCGACGTTGGGAAGACATTCAAAAATGTTACTCCTCCAACTCATAGCCTCGAAGGGTTGGGATTTGAAATCATTTGATATCAAGGCAGCGTTTCTCCAAGGAAAGAATCAAAAGGATCGAGTACTTGCAATAGAACCAGTTGCCGAAATTGTCAAAATGATGAACTTATCCCCTCAAGAAATCTGTAAGTTGGAAAAGGGAGCCTATGGCCTGGTAGATGCGCCATTTATGTGGTTTCAAGCGATACTAGAAGAATTGCTGCGACTAGGCTTCGAACAGTCACCGTTTGACCCCTGTCTGTTCATACTGAGAGATCCCCGAACGCTTCAACCTGATGGCATTCTTGGCCTCCATGTTGACGATGGTTTGTGTGCGGGAAATCAACGATTTCAAGACACTCTAAACATGTTGGAAAAGAAATATCCTTTTGGTACAAAACGAATTGGTCAATTTACTTTCACTGGAATCGACATGCAACAAACACCAGATGGCACTATTCACCTATCTCAGTCCAAATACATCAGAGCAATTGAACCCATCAAAATCAACCAGGAGAGAAGGAAACAGATTGACCAATCTGTAACTGAAGAGGAACGACAACAACTGAGAGCACTCATCGGTAGTCTTCAGTATGCAGCAGTCCATACAAGGCCGGATCTTTCGAGTCGTTTGAGCATGCTCCAATCTTCCATCAATCAAGCTACTGTGGAAACCCTTACAACTGCCAATCAAGCGTTACATGAAGCCAAAAAGCATCATGAGGTTACCATCAAAATACAACCAATACCAATTGAGATGCTGCGATTCCTTGCCTTTTCAGATGCATCATTCGCCTCAAAGAGTAACCCAAGTTCTCATACTGGTACCCTTATAATGGCGACCCATAAAGATATTGGGAAAAACACGACATGTCCAGTGAATCCAATGTCATGGGGATGTAAGAAAATCCAGCGTGTTGTAACAAGCACCCTGGCAGCTGAAACAACTTCGTTGAACTCAGTGTTAGACCACCTTTCCTGGGTAAGACTATGTTGGGCATGGATCCAAGATCCAAAGGTACCATGGAAAAATCCAAAACTTGCCTTTCAAAACCTTCCTGAAACATATACAACCGCTACTATACAAGCACAGGATCTCCCAGAGAGCTTTGCAGCAACGGACTGCAAATCACTGTACGACTTGGTCACCCGTACGGCTGTTCCGAACTGTGCAGAGTTCCGAACGCAGCTGACAGCACGATCAATAAAGGACATGCTAGATGAAGGGGTATCACTTCGGTGGGTCCACTCAGGAGCACAGTTGGCCGATGCACTGACTAAGGTGATGGAAAATGCGTTTCTTAGGGAAACTCTGAAAATTGGTCAATACAGGCTTCATGACGAACTAGAGGTCCTCAAGAATCGTGCGTCGTCGCGCAACCGTCTGAAATGGCTGAAGGGTGAACAGACCGACCCTCATGGCTCCAGGTGCAATGATGTGTGTTTCTTAGAAAACTTTGGTTTTTTGGGAGTGTGATTCAACATCATTGCACATGTCTAGTACCACCAAGAACCAAAAGCCCAGGGGATGTCAACGCTTCATGTTGCTGTAGCACTGGAGGCTCAGGAGGGCCATAGAGGAACCGTGGTGGGTGGGTATTTACCTAGTGCTTGTGGAAGCCATAGTCTTGATTTGAGCGCGGCCGCTCATAAAGTACTTTGCTGGCCTGGGGCCATCCTTTTGTGCCTGGTGTTTGCCAACACCCCCATTTGGTCCTGCCGACCTTTCGTCCTGAGCTCTGGAGTAGATACTCCAGTTGGTGCAATCAACAACTTGGTGCCTTGAAGGGGAAAAGGCGCCGTGCGCTTTTGGGAAGCCGCTTGGAGGTTGGAAGTTGCTATCAGTGTGGGGTCGTGATCCTCTCACAGTATGGATATAAATATGTATATATATATATATATTATATATATAAATGGAGATATATATATATATATACATATACATTTACATATACATTTACATAGACTACATTGCTATCATTACTAATCATTACATATCTATATATCTGCGAACCCTGGTCAGTAAGTGATCAAATGATCAAATCCAAACAGCCCAAGCCCGCCAACCACTCTCGCTGCAAGGAACGTGTTCTGTCGATTGTTCCGGAACACCAACGCTCTTCTCTCCAAGCCTGGTGAGTACCTGCCCGATCAATTCGAGGGGTATACGGCGACCCATTTGATAGACTGTGTCATACATGGTCCAAAAAAGGTGAACAAAGAACTTTAACCCAAAGTATAGGCACTATACAAGTACCTTAATTCAGTATTTAATTTTCAATATTCCGGCAAATTTTAAGATCTAATTTTGTGGTCAGGAACTTTGGCCCAAATGACAGATGTGAACTTTCGATTCAGAGCCCGCCTGGCATCTATGCCAAGCCCAATGAAAGGCACATAGGGGAGCTCCCAACCACTTTGATGTGCCACCTGACGATGGGAAGAAGTTCCTGTGCATCCTTTCTTTTTCTGTTTGGCATCATTTGGCACCTATCAGCGTGTAGTCTACTGAGCGATGATAGATTAGAATTGAATCATTGCCATTTTGACAACTTTGTTGTGGAACAGACAAACGAAGACAAAAACATGCCTGCGACAAAGAATTTGCTCCGCCTTCTGCGAACTAGATTTTTCGGTCGTGTGCCATGAGGGAAAACTTTCCAATCAATGATCATGCCCAGCCCGAAATCTATCCAACCTGCTCAACAGTGATGCGACATGCTGCAGATGGTAACAAACGACGCTCCTCAAGCATAGACTTGAAGCCAGACCAGAAACTCCAAACGTCCTCTGGCCTGGTAGTGGGAAACCTAGGCTCAGCATTGAAATTCTGAAGGGGACGAAGAGGCAAGGACAAGGAATGAAATCAAGATGACCTCTGGGCGAATCAAAACCTTAATGCTTTCTGTTTGACACTCACCTAAATTTAAATGCACAAATGGCTATCATCCCACCAGTGTTCATTTCGTTCCATACTGATTGTGATTGCCCCTCTCTGCTTCAGAGGGAGATTTGGAAGTCCGGATCTTCGTCAAACTGGCCATTCACAAGGACATTGTGACAATAAGCACCAGACATTTCCTCCTTAGTGCCGCATGTGCGGGAATCTCTCAGAAGCCAACAACATGCGACCCTGTTTGGAATCGAGCCCTTAGACAAGGGGTGTAGATGGGACCGGCGCGAAAAGCCAGTCTTTTCCAGCAAGGAAACTCATTGAGCAAGGCCATGTGCAGAACACCCAGCATCGCCGACGTTCTCCTCATCCAGGGATGACCACCACGGCCAGGAGATTCAGGTCACCACAATTCGGCAAGTGGGATCCGGAAAGTCCAGTCATGTTTTCATCTGCATATCTGCAGAGAAGTGAATTGCGTCTTGGAGAGAGAATGGATGCGGTCAATGATCAACAGGAGCAACTTCAACCATGTAGCAGAACACACTGTGTCTGAAAGTTTCACTAGAAATCCATCGGTCTCTACCGGCAAGGGTTTGAATCTCTTCGGTGAGGTTGAATGAGTATGCACATGTAAGTAGGGGATGGCGTGAGGAGTCCAGGGAAAAAGAAGAGAGGCGGTTGGAAGAGTTAGAGAGTGTGAACGTTGTAAAGGTAATAGTGGAGTTTGGGCGGCGCCTACCTCAAAAAATCACGTGACTTCGCCGACATCGCACAACACACCTGCTGTCCTGGGTCGAATGTATGGACACAGCCACATGGGTTCGCTACAGATCACGATCTCTGCATCCTCAAGGCCCCTAGCCTCTTTGGGCAACCACACCTCCGCACTTGGAGTAATGCCGGTGCCCACGTGATGTTGAAAATCCATATAATTTGGCGCCTTAACCTTTCTTAATGACAGCAAACAAATTATTTATATGTTTACATCCAAAAAAAAGAAACCAACGAACCCGAATGCAGTCACGTACAACACTTTTGTGAAACAAGTCTTGTCAACAGTTTCGTACATTTTTCCCCTGTTACCGCACCAGTGTAGACTGTGCGTGGAATGGGGTAGAGTGCAGAGCATGGAGTGCGAATACAGTGAAGACAGTGGAGTGTTGAGTGGGGAATGTAGGGTATGAAATGGGGATTGTGGAGTGTGAAGTGTTGAGACTAAAGACTAGAGTGTGGAGTGTAAAGCATCGAGTGTAGAGAGTGGAGTGTAAAGTGTAAAGTGTGGAGTGCAAAGCGTAATGTCTAGGTGTAGAGTGCGGGGTGAAAAGTGTTTTGTGCGCAGTGTGAAGTGTAAAGTGTGGAGTGTGGAGTGTAAAGTTTGGAATGCAAAGTGTAAAGTGTAGAGTGCAGAGTGCGGGGCGCCAAGTGTAAAGTGTAGAGTGTGGAGCGCGGACTGTGGAGTGTAAAGCCTAGAGTGTGGAGTGTCAAGTGTAGAGTGTGGAGTGTCAAGTGTGAAGTGTAACGTGTGGAGTGTGGAGTGTCAAGTGTAAAGTGTAGAGCGTAGAGTCTCAAGTGTAAAATGCGAATTGTAAATTGTACAGTGGTGTCAAGTGTCAAGTGTAGTGTGTAGAGTGTAGGTGTGGAGTGCCACTTATAAAGTGTGAAGTGTAAAGTGTAGAGCGTGGAGTGTCAAGTGTAACTTGTGAAGTGTATGAGTGTGGGGTGTCAAGTATAAAGCGTGAAGTGTAAAGTGTGGAGTGTGGAGTCTAAAGCGTGAGTGTAGAGTGTAAAGTGTGAAGTGCACAGTGTACAGCGCAAAGTGTAGAGTGTAGAGTGTGGAGTGTGCAGTTTAAAGTGTAGAGTGTAGAGTGTAGAGTGTGGAGCTGGAGTGTAAAGTGTAGAGTGTGGAGTGTAAAGTGTAAACTGTAAAGTGCGCAGTGCAAGTGTAAAGTGTAAAGTGTAGTGTGGGGAGTGACAAGAGTAAAGTGCGGTTGCCGACGGTTGCGACCACAAAAGCCGCGTCGAGCGAACACGTCCCAACCCGTAGACCGACCCCCCAAAGTAAAACTAGAACCCTTCGCTACGCATTCGGGAAAAACTGTGTCATTGGCCATTGGTGCACAGTCAGTATCCTTGCATCAAATCCCGCTGCTTTTGCATTCTTGGGAGTAGTGGGCATCCAACGCTTTACCCTACCTTGCCAACTTCCTCCATGGACATTTGGCCATCTTGCAGGTCTTGAAACATGGCTTTCAACGTTGCAAAATCCTTAGCAAAAGAGGTTGTCCAACCAGCTTGTGGTTTGATCTAGGCATGTACACCTCCTTGCACTGTGGAAACTTCAGAAACTTCAGAATAGCTAAGATGTGAGATGCAACTAGTAAAGTGAAAGTTGCGGCCGTGCTCACCCACAAGGATGGTGGTGGCCAATGACACAGTCAAACATCAATTCAAACGTGTGAACAATTGTGTACCGAAGTGGCAGCGTAAATCCTTTTTCCATGTTGTCAAAGGATCGCCTAAATGCAGGCCCATACGTTTTTGTTGGTTCACTGCACACATGAAGCACAACTGACTGAGATGGGGAAATGGTTGCTGCAGTTTACATGAAACTGCATCGTACACGATCATCTTCTAGCCTGCCGCCCCGAACAGGTCCGTAAAGTCAAATGCGCATTTAAAAACAACACGAAAAAGGTTTATTCTTGGTTGCAACACTGGATTTTTAAAATCTGCAAAATCTTTTCTTGGCAGCGCAACATTTCTTCAGTGTCTCCAAGTGTCTGCGACCACATGCTGGGCTAGCCATTTCCCCATCTCAGTGTTGCGTAGTGCCTTGACCTTAGCATTGCCAAGTGACCGGGGTGACTGTGGTGACTGTGGATCCCGAAATCAGCATTGCCAAGTTATGATCCGTTCGGGTCCAGAAAGAATTTGGGGAAGGGGTCCCCAGAACAAACTTATTTCGCATGTCCTGCAAAACCACAAAAGCACCAATCCCAGCGGGAAATGACGAGAAATATAAAGTATGATTCGTACATCTACAAACTGGAGAAGCAAAAAGAAACAAATACAAATACCCACCGTATTTGCGATCAAAAAGACACCCACCACGACCCATCATACCTGAGAAGGGACAACGAAAGCCATGACAAGTTGATTTCGAGAGCAGTCGAACACAAGGAAATTAGGTGAGAACATGAAGCAGCGAGGCTGGGCAAGGCTGCAATGTGGAAGTGTTGGCCATTATCGATGACGCTTCGTTTGAAGCATGTTCCTCATGTTGTGTGTTCGTTGGGGTTAACTTGGTGCGAACTGTCGCCAAAAGGTCCCAAGTTGCGCCACTTTGAACGTGACCCGGGCTTCCATCCAACTCGGCCCAATTTTGCGGACTCGACACGCTGAAAACTTGCATTTTTACCGCTATTTCCAACGTTCTTGGCTTTGCTGAGGGTTCTTGCAAGGCCCCAGTTGGGGGCCCAAATTGGGCCAACTGGTCTCAGTTCGGCGCAAGTTACGCCCAAGTTGGGCCCGAGAGGGCTCAGCACAACTTAAGGCCAAGGACGCCCAAGTTTGACCCCAGTCGGCTTAGGTTATTCAAGGGGTGCGAAATTAAATTGGCAATTTGTTTTTTTGCAATTTTTATTTTTTTGGTCGTCCAGGCTCCCTTCCTTGGTTGTTGCAGCCAAAATCTTTCATTTGCTGCATTTTGTCGCAAAATCTCTCATTCGCACTGTTCATTAATTTTTCGACTGGTTTCACGATTTTTCAATAGTTTTTATCGAGTTTTGCATCGCTTTCATTGGTTTGTCCATGATTTCCTTCAGATTTTCCATGGTTTTCTTCAATTTTTTCATGGTGTGCTTCAATTGTTCCATAGTTTTCTTCAATTGTTCTATGGTTTTCTTCGATTGCTCCATGGTTTTCTTCAATCGTTCCATGGTTTTCTTCAATTTTTCTATGGTTTTCTTCAATTTTTCCATTGTTTTCTTCGATTTTTCCATAGTTTTCTTCAATTTTTCCATGGTTTGCTTCAATTTTTCCATGGTTTTCTTCAATTGTTCCATTGTTTACTTCAATTTGTGCATGATTTGCTTTGTTCTATGGTTTTCTTCGATTGTTCCATTGTTTTTCTCCAATTTTTCCATGGTTTTCTTCAATTTTTCCATGGTTTTCTTCAATTTGTGCATCATTTGCTTCAATTGTTCTATGGTTTTCTTCGATTATTCCATTGTTTTTTTTCAATTTTCCCATGGTGTTCTTCAGTTGTTCCATGTTTTTCTTCAATTTTTCTATTGTTTTCTTCAATTGTTCTATGGTTTTCTTCGATTGCTCCATGGTTTTCTCCAATTTTTCCATTGTTTTCTTCAATTTTTCCGTAATTTTCTTCAATTTTTCCATGGTTTTCTTCAATTTTTCCGTAATTTTCTTCAATTTTTCCATGGTTTTCTTCAATTTTTATATGTTTGCTCTTCAATTTTCCATGGTTTTCATTCAGCTTTCACTTGTCTTCATTTATGGCTCCAGAATGTACAATGATTTTTACATGGTTTTCATGGTTTTTCCGAAGTTTTCATTTATTTTTGGAAACGCACGATGTGCAAACTATAAAATGTAAATGTAAAGAGGTATATATGCATGACTAATCATGACTATATGTACATGTAGATCAGTGTATTTGCAAGTGTATTTTATATATATATATATGCAGGGTTTGGTTTAGGGTTTATTTAGGGGTTGGTTTAATGGTTTCTTCTAGATTTGTTTAGGGTCTATTTAGGGTTCGTTTAAGGTATCTTTAGGGCTGGTTTAGGGTCTGGTCAGGGTTTGTTTAGGGTTGGATTAGGGGTTATTTAGGGATACAACATGTACATACAAATAGCTATAATTACGTGGATGCATATCCTTGCGCATGATTATTTATAGTTTATTTTGGGATCAAAGCTGTGTATATAAACAGCCACAAATATGTCATATATATATATATGTCTGTATACCTATAAGTAAATATGTATGTGTATTGATATGTATACTTATAGATACATACTTATATACATATGTTTATATATATGTATAAATATATATATATATACATAAGTACATATAAAGATATATATATATATAAGTGTCTGTATAAGTGCAAATAAATATATATATATGTCTATGTAAATATACATATATAGAAACAGATTTAAACATAAATATAAAGATAGTTGAATCAAACTAGTGTATTGAAAAATGTGCAAGTTTGAATTCAAATATTTAAAAAAAGCGGGTGGGGGGGGATTGGGGGGAGGGCTGAAGAGGGGCCCTAGCGTCTATTCAAGATCAGCTAAGGCGTCTTCCCAAGACAGCTCACGCGCTTTTTACTCTCGCCGTATTGCCAGTCCGTGCGGTGTCCACAGGGTTACTCTAGATACCTCTTGAGCCTTGAGGGGCGCATATAAATGTGCTCAATACTCATGCATGTACCCGCATAGGTATTAGGTCTAAACAAAAACACAGGCACAAATTCAAAAGCAATGAGTAGAGCACTACGCCTTGTCGTACCCAATTGGTATTAAGAGTATCTTCCTGTTCTCGCTACACAATGGCAAATCGGCAAAAACTGAGCGGAAGTCACGCATTGGATTGAAGAAAACAAATTTGATAAGCGACGGAATGTCCTAAGGACATGTCGAAATGAAAGCAGCGGATTCGCTAATTATTTTTCGGCTGGACCAATGGTGCACTAGGCACGGTCTCTCCAAGCAAAATGCTCCCTCTACCGGTGAAAAGTTCCTACTTCGCAATGCAAGATTCAGAAAATGAGGTCAGATGGAAAACAGTTGACCGAATCACAAAATAAACGGAAATAGCGGATCTCCAAAGTTGCTCATTCAAGCAAACGATGGCCAAATTCGGAGTTGGTATATTGGATTCGCTCCATTCGGAGATGTTCTGCTCAGCGGAAAGGTTACGGAGACAATTGTGATATATACAAGAGTATCTACATTAAATTGAAATTCAGACACAGTAGTGGCATTATCTCCATCTAAAAGAGTATATGCCATCTTGTGAAAAATGAACACTTGCCTTGTATTATCTCTGTCTAAAAGAGTATATACTTTGTGAAAAGAAACTGAATGCACAGAAAAACTGTACAAGCCTCTCATGCTGTGTTATCTTCGTCTAAAGAAGTACACTCGCTTTGGTCTCCATGTTGTGGACGATGAAGCTGAGGATCCACCATAGCCACTGCTGCGCCAGTCGCTCCATGCTTGATCATCATATCCTTTCCTCTTGTTCTGCCTCTGCTTCTCCTTTCTCGCGTCATGACGTCTCATCTTCATCTGACTTGGAATGTACTGACGTTTTCTGACCAGAGCATATCAGAGGGCTTTAAATGAACAACACTAGGATTGTGAGCATCACGATCTGTAGGTGCAACCATGAAGATGTTGTGATCATTGTTCAAGCAAGTTTCATTGACCCTGAAGGAAAACTCACAAACGTAGTTCATGTGATCTTCATCTTCAAAATTGGCTATGTCCTCATCATACTCCAAACGTGCATGTCCCCACTCAACAATAGACATCATACAACAGTCACCTCGATCTGAAGTCTTGTTCATGAGTTCCTCGGTGTATGTTGCTGTTGTAATGTTATCCAGATGTGTTGCTAGAAAATCAAGATCCCGATAACTGCAAGAGATGAAATGTTTCACCCGAACAGGTGGACAAAATCGATGGTTCTTGCGTCGAGCTTGTGTTGCAACATTCATCATCTTGTTGATCCAGTATTGCAATAAGCTATGCTGGTATGTGGGAACCCCTGGTGTCTTTGGTGTGGTGAAATAGCATGCCTTGTTCCCATCGCCTGCGATCACGTCAACTTGATAACGGGCACACTCGAAAGCCATAATGGCCAAACATTCACCAACGATACCAGGTGTATCTGAAGCATACTTCTGTCCAACATAATAAACACACACGCGCGTCATCTTCATCCTTGCTCTTGTCAAATCTTCAATCTTTTGTGTGTCTCGGTGCTTGGTCTTTCCCCAGAAGACTTCGAAGATTGCCCAAGAGACATGCCTGATGCGCGTGTCGTTCTCATTGGTATTATATCCAGCAGTTTGCCTGATATATCCTTCCTTTCCGGTACGAGCAGCAACCATCAAATCATGATAATCGTTGAAGCAAGTGGTAATCTTGGCTTCTTCGAGACGAGCTCTGTGAGGATAAAGCGTACCAGCTTCACAATTCATGAAAAAATGTCCCCCAAAGTTCTTAATGACGTTGATGAAATAGTTGTTGAACTGGGGCTTGTCATCTCCAATAGGCTTGTGATCACCATCGAAATTGTAATCAATGTGTGGCGTGAATCGTTGGAGTCTTTCTGGGACAGGACATTTGTCAAAAGACTTTCGACACCAGTTTCCCAGATTCCAAAACATCACTGAGAACTGTGGTGAGGATCTATAAGGATGTTCTTCATCAATGTATGTTGGGCCTAACATGCCGCCACCTAAGTATCTGGAAGCTAAGCATTGTAACACAACAACATAAGGTAGAACACCATGATCTTCCACATAACATTCAAGGACCTTTGTCAGATTGTTGAAATCATCTTGAATTCTTTTCTCTGCTTCCTTGGATGCATCTTCTGAATGTTCTTGATGTCTTGCATGTAATCTTGGATCACTGCATCCATACTCAATGGTTGCCTTGACTTCTTCTAGGTCCTGAAGTGGAGGTCGATCCTTGTGTCTGGCTATGTACTCTCTCATCAATTGATCATCAGTGTCTGAATACCAGTGATCTAGATGTGGAGCCTGGGTGAATGTTTTTCAGATGGTTATCATGGTGAATGGGCAAGCTTCTACAATCAAGGTTATCCAGCTTCTTCTCAACATCGACATGTTCTGGCATGTCAAGTACACAAAAACCGAGAGCAAAAAGCGTGTTGCCAGTCCGTGCAGTGTCCACAGGGTTACTCTAGATACCTCTTGAGCCTTGACGGGCGCATATAAATGTGCTCAATACTCATGCATGTACCCGCATAGGTATTAGGCCGAAACAAAAACAAGGGCGCAGCGCCTCCCCCCCAAAGCAGATTGGAAACACCTATTTTCACATGCAAGGTGCTGGTTTGAATGTGATACTCAAGGTGTACAGACTACACGAGGAAACATGTGGAATACAGGTTGAGGCACAACGATGCACAATAGTTTCATTGGATGTTATCATCGTGTTGGTTTAAGATATCTTTAAATACGGTTGGTGTAGTGTATATTCTGGCTTGGTTCAGGGTTGGCTTGGGCTTTGAACATCATCTCCATGATAATGCAAACCTTTTTAGATAGATAGATAGATAGATAGAAAGAAAGATAGACAGAGAGATAGATAGAGAGATAGGTAGATGTAGATGTAGATGTAGATGCAGATGCAGATGCAGATGCAGATGTAGATATAGATAGATTTAAATAGATATAGACATAGGTATAGACATAGAAATAGACATAGATATAGACATAGATACAGACATAGATATAGACATAGATTTAGACATAGATTTAGACATAGATTTAGACATAGATAGACATCGATAGATATAGATATAGAATTAGATAGATATAGATATAGATATAGATATAGATATAGATATAGATATAGATATAGATATAGATATAGATATAGATATAGATATATAGATCATAGATCATAGATCATAGATAGAGATGGAGATAGAGATAGAGATAGATGGATGTGTATCTAATGCACAACATGCACCTGGTGAACATGCTTCACTGATAGATTGATCGATAGATGATAGATGAGTCATAGGAGCCAGGAGCCATAGAAGCCACAGAAGCTGCAGAAGCCACAGAAGCCACAGAAGCTGCACAAGAAACAGAAGCCACCAGGACCGTAGAAGCCACAGAAGCCACTAGGAGCCACCAGGAGCCACCAGCAGCCAGGACCCCCAAAAAAAAAATGCGAAAAAAAAAGCCTTCCTTCTTCAAGTAGGCCCGCTTTTTCCTCTCTGTTTTATTTTTGGGTGGGGCGATTCTCGTCGTGAAGCGACTCGAACAAATCAGACAGACAGAAAACTTTGGGTTTCTGGATTAATCATTCACTTGCTTCCATGGCCCAAACAAATCCTGCCCAGGGGCTTGGGTGAAGTACAGTCGCACTTCATGGATGGTCGGTTCCACATTTTGCACACCAGATAAAGATCGCAAGGCAGCCTGATTGAGTCCCGATTTATTCATGCTGGCAAAAAAAATGGAAGACCTTGGAGCAACCCAGCATGATCTCCTCAAATCTTGTGGCTTGTCTTTTGACCATTTCAAACACAATCCATCACAATCCCATGTCCATGGACACTCCAATAGTCTATCAACAAACCTCGCATCACAAGTTGGTCGCCTTTGTGCTGGACAAGAGCTCCAGTGCCGATCCATCATGAAACTGGAGCATGGCAATCCTGCGAAAGTCAAGCTGCAAAGCCACCATGTTTGCTACAACGATTCTGACATGTTTTAGATCCATCTGCACAAAACAATATTGGACCACCTGGTTGAGACTTACGTATGATGATATGCTCCTTGCAAAAATCAGCTAGAAAAGAAAGAATAAGAGCCTTTCCCGCTTCCGGCGTCCTCAAGGCTGGTGGCAGTGCGGACAGCATCACAGCACCAGAGGGACGCAGTGGAACACTGTGCCACGGCTCCAAACGGGGGCCCGGCAGCACGTGCATGTCCTGCTTCTAACTGCTGATTTTGGTCCAAATTCCACTGGGGAAACTCCAACTGCAGCACACTGCTTTGAAAGAGGGGTCAAATACACAGAAACATAATAAAACATCAAATGTTTTTCATATTGGGCTCACCCGTCTCCTCGTACTCAGCGAAGGATTTGTAGTTCCCTCATAGGAAACCACGGTCATTGAAGCAAAGAATGATGTGGTACGTCGAAAGGAGAGATAGACTGAGATAGAGGCTCATTCGCAGATTGTGAAATTTCACTCCGACAAACACATGCGGCACATTACAGGTTGATCCCAAAACAAGTGTCTCTCAGAGTCCAAATTGACGGCCATATCATAGAGGGACACATTCCAGTTCGTACTTGCGAAGAAGTCCTTGGTTCTGGAGTCATCCAGAGCTCACTGCTCCTCGTGTTTGAACTGACTTCAGCAGCCTAAACAGCTCAGACAACTCAGAGCAGATTTTTGCGCTGAGTCCATCAGCCAAAACCCAAACCAACGTTGTCGAATAAGTTCAGGGCTCCCAGCACAAATACAGAGGTCAAATCACCAACTTACCCTCCCTCCTTGTGGCTATGGTTTACCTATAGGTTGGAGCAACCCCGTTGGAAAACATCTCAAAACATGTTGCTTAAAAATAACCGGATGATTCTCCGAGGATCATAGGTATAGTAGGGTGCGTGAAGTAGAACCTCGATGCTCGCAGTCAGGGCACTTGCCACCTGCACCACTATGCATAGGTTCCGGGGACGCATCTGTTTTGTTTCTGCCAAAAAAAAAGCAAACATGAACATTTGAGCACTCAAAGTTGGGTTTGCTGCTATTGTTTCAGCACTACATACAATTATATATATATGCTGGACAGGCTGTATCCTGGACATCGTAACTAAGTCGAACTAATCTATAGTTCTACTTCAAGGAGTTCCTGTACTGAGGGGCAACGATGCTGCGGGGAGCCTACGGGTATGGCACCTGCCTTTCTAAGTTAGTTTCACATCCGTTTTTCACAAACCATACCTATGGCACGCAAGACGCAAGAGAAGATATATATATTATATATATATATATACATAGTTACATACAGGAATGTGTAAGAAGTTTGAAGCTTTTCAAAACAAAACATGCAGGTCTCGAAAAGCATCGCGAAGCTCTTCCCGGGCACCTCTTCCCGCAGTTGGCTGTGGCCATACTGCTGAAAGCCAACCAGAACGGCATATTCCTGGAGCTGACTGAGTAGATGGGTATACACTCCACACTAGCAACCGCCAGTAGACCACTAGCAACAGGTGAGGGTAGTCACTGAATCTTGAGACACTCAAGTTGCAATTGCAGCCACTAGAATCCTACAATCTTAAGACAAAATTTGCCCCTATGCACGCATCTCATGGATTGAGCGGCTTGCATTGATGGTGTAAGCACTGGTTTCGTGAGAATTTCACGAGGAGATCCTATATATGATCCTATGCTACTTGAGAAGTGCTGGAAAGCGCCACAAGCTTGTGCTATCTGTAAGCATGCACCCGACAAGCCACTATCACTTTGAGAAGGCATTTTGAACCATCCAACATGTGCAGAGGGCATCTTGTAACAATTTACGAGCAGAAGCAACAATCGCATGATGATTAGCGTAATTCGAAACTGTCGGCCCAAGCGTCAAGAGCAATGAATCCATATGGACAATCTTTCTCCTCAATCTCACCACTCTGGCCACGCCTCTTCATGACCTCCGACAAACCTCACAGTGTCTTACACAGTCTGAAAAGAAACCGAATAACCCCACTGAAGTACACAGATATTAAGCCCGAAAACTGTGTAGATCATCAATCATCAGTGCTGGTTCTATAAGGGGGCAATTTGCCTGCCTCTCGCAAGAAAGCATCATGGACATCCAAATGTCGTCAGTGCAATCAACATTGTAAAATTTATAAATGCCAAGGTACTAACGTTAGAGCTCGTCTCTACTCCGAAGAAATCTGCCAGCAACATCACCTTGCAGGAGGAGTAGGCGAGGATTTTTACATTTTTTTTTTGTCGAGCTAAAGAAACATGTCACGTTTCCATGCAGCCGTTTGAACCTTTTCCGAATTCAACAAGGTGCCCTTCTACAGTCTGACCGGGACGACACCTGGAAACTAAGTCCCAAAGCGAAGCGCCTGCCGCAACATCCAGGATCCTGCACCAGCGGAGACCTTCAAAACATAGGGATGCAAAACGGTGCAAGATATCTGATATATGATTGGGATTGATTGGGTGGCAAGAGTAATGAACCAAAAGGCACTGAAAATTGTGTAATCTGATTGCAAGATATCGCAAGGATGGTGCATTGTTTGAAACGGTTTTAACACGACAGGGACTAAATGCATGTTGCAAGAGCAAAATCCGGTGATGATCGGCATGGCTAGTGTGCCAACAGCACCATTGTTTCTGCATTGCAAGGTTAAATTGACTGGTTGTGAGACAAGCAAGGCAGGTTTGGAAACAGTTTGCATTGAGCAAGCCACTAGATTGCCCAACGCAAATTGGGCGCTGTCAATTGCACTCCATGCATTGCACTTGGGATCATGTTTTTCCTGTTTCCTGTCAGGTCCGACGACCTCATTTTATCCAGGTCTGATGACCTCATTTCATTTTGGTCTTCTGACCGTATTTTGCCTCTCAAGAAAGGGAGGGACTTCTAACGCCCCATAGGCTACGCACCTTGGAAAAGTGCCTCGTTTGCACTGCCTTGCTTCGCTGTGAACTTCGAGTGTCTCAGCTCAACTGGCTGCCCAGTTTATACTGGTCAGCGGAGCTTTGTTTCAATCCCCACTGCGCACTCCACTTCAACTTGAACATTTCACTGAACCACCACTACCATTGCCAGATCTTCCTGCTCTATTCAACGTTCTTGACTTCCGAGATTAAGCTGTTCTTTTGCACTGTGCTCTCTGACGAGCTCTTTGACCTTGACGAGCTCTTTGAACCTTGCACTGTGCTCCTTGGCGAGATCTTTGTCCTTGCTGAGCCCTTCACTGGTTTTGACCTGCACTGGCAGTATCTCTTCGAGCTTGTGCCATCTGCGCCTTGCCTCTTGAACTATGTCGAGCTCAGGTTCAACCACGCTGGACTCCAACTTCACGAAGGACTCCTTCATTCCGATGTTTGATGGATCTCCCAGCTCTTACCAGGAGTGGAGAAAACGTATCCACATCTACCACCTGAAGATGAAGTTGCAGAAGAGAGCTGTGGAGTCCGTGCTCAACATCATCGGATCTTTGCAGGGCACAGCTTGGAAGCTTGTTGAAAGCTTTGATGTGACCAAGATCGATGAGGCTTCATCCTTTGACGCTGTGATTGCATTGCTGGACGGTGCATTTCAGTATGACAATCGAGTCCGTATGCCTCAGGACTTTGACAATTACTTCAACCTGACCCGCAAACCTGGAACCTCGCTCCTCTCCTACTGCACGGAGCACGATGAGAAGTATCGCAAAGTCGCTGAGCATGGAGTCAAACTTCCTGATCAGATACAAGGCTGGCTGCTGCTGAGAAGAGCCAACCTTACAAAGGAACAATACCAATTGGTGTTGTCTCAGGCTCCGAAGCTTGAGAAACTTCGTGTCCAAGAAGCCTTGTTCATCATCCTCGGGCAAGATCATCGATCTGCTGTGAACCGAGATGATCGACGACCTGGTGCTGGCCGCTTCTTCAGAAACAAGGCCTTTGCAGCCCAGGATGATGAGACCTACGATGACACAGATGCCTATGATGATGGCTACTACGAGTACGATGATGGCTATGCAGCTACTGAGTACGAGGCTTTTGATGAAAGTTGGACCGAAGACTACTTTGACTCCAATGCTGCATACTATGAAGGTGAGGGGAACTACAACGCTGACGATGCAGAGACCCTTGCCGAGTTTGACGTTGACACCTATGATGAAGCATATGCTGCATACCTTGATGCAAGACGTCGCTTTCAGGACATCAAACTGTCCAGAGGTTTCTTTCCTGTGGTTGCCTTAGACCAAAGCTCTATGGCCAATGCACCTTCAAGCGGATCACCTTCTCCGACCAGAGGGAAGGGCAAGGGTGGGAAACCAAAGGGCAAGAAAGGGAAAGGCAAGGGTAGCAATGTGGTGCGCTATCCACCTCGTGGTGCTGGCAAAAACCCTGACCCAAAAGGCAGAGCCTCTGCCGTGTTGCATTGCTTGCGCTGTGGATCTGCAGGACACCAAGCAGCTCAATGTCCACGACCAGCTAAGCATGCCACGACTTCCTCCACTGCATCCAGCCCAAAGAAGCAGCACACTGAAGGCATGGCTGCTCAGATGATGCCTGGAGAAACTGGCTTGGTGCTTTTTGAAGACAATGCTGGCCGACCTCGAGTTGACTGCACTATGTTGGATCCTGGCGCCAGTGCCTTTTTGATGGGTTCAGGACCCTTTGAGCGCTACATTGCCCACTTGAAAGACCTTGGCTTCCCCACTGAGACCATTGAGATGCGACGCACTTCCAGAACTTTTCATTTCGGTGGTGACCATTCCACCACGAGCCATTGGGTTGCCAGAGTTCCAATCTTTGTCAACAACAACTTTGGATTTTGCCAGGCCTTCATCATCAAGGGTGAGACACCAATGCTGATGGGAAGACCCATCATCGAAGCCCTTGGCATCATCATCGACTTCAAGACCCAAAGAATGATGTTTGAAGGCTGCCCCTGGCGACCAATAACACTTGGCAGACATGGTGAATACCTCCTTTCTCTGACGGAGGACTTTGAAACTGAACTTGCAGACCAGGTCCCCTACTTTGACCTCAAGCTCAACGAACCGACAATGGACCCACCAATGGGAGATGCTGTGGACCTGACCGTCTACGAGAAGGAAGAAGGTGCCATGACTGCAGGCGAGCACTCTGCTCCACCTGAACCTGGCTCTCGAGCCGTCTTGAACAAGCACTGGAAGATGTTTGAGAATGCCATGACCTCTGAGGAAAATCGAGTCAATGCTTGCATCACCAAGGAACTCCATCAAAGCCAACCTCGACCACGAATCGTTTGGGAAGTCTATGCAGGTGCGTCTCGCACTTCACAACTGGCTGAAGCTCTTGGCTGTGATGTTCAGGTCTTTGGATATGACACCGGCTGGGACTTTGACATTGCCAGTCACAGAACTGCTTTTCTACAACTCATGGATGAAGTGCTTCCCGACGAAGTGTTCCTGGCTCC